AGTAGAAATTCCCTTTTTTGTGACCCGAGCAAAGGAATTTACAGCTAGAGGGGCAGCGTACAACCAGGACACACAAAGCAGGTTTTACTATGGAACCAATCGGGTTTTTCAAAGCCAGCTCTTAATTACATAATTCAAGCTTTCTTCCATTTTTTTGTTCTACTCCTCTCACCCACACATGGACACACACACACACACTCCCCTCTACCCTTATATAAATATTGTTCCTAAATTCTTCAGTCAAACCACCCTATGCCTCCCTCTCAATCTTCCAGCCCCGCAGGTCCAGTTCTGAATCTCAGGAACACCGGTCCCTTTCCTAAAGCAGTTTGGCTGTGTGAAGGAAACAGAGAGCGAAACGGAGGGGTGAGAAAGGGAAGATTTCAGGGCCCCGTAATAGCTGCGGTGAACGCTGCAAGCGCGGAACCTTTAGGCTCAGGATTCGCAGCTTTGAGCAACTTGGAATCCACAGAAATATAAACAAAACTAGAATACCCAGGAGTGATGACCACCTGGTCAAAGAAACCTCCACGGAAATTAACTATTTTTAGTTTTTCTTCTATTTGAGATGGTGATACTATGATGCCTCGATTCCAGTCACACCATCGATTAATTCATAGTTTCTTTGAGGGGTGGGGGAAGGGACCATGACCACATTAAACGCACACACTGGTTCCCAGATAGACCCCATCTCAGAAACGTGAGCTTGGGGCATGGAGGGCAGTGTCGTGAGTCAGGTGAGGAGGGGAAGAGAGAGCACAAGCCAAAGGCAGGAAATCTAGTACCTGGACAACCTCTTCGGGCTCTGCTGAGAGTCGCCTCTGTAGATGGGTGGCTTTGAGTTGGCTGGTGAGTTGTTGGCCACAAAAGGGCATGGAGCTTCTACTCACAATGTGGAAAGTCTGTAGAAAATGAAAAAGACTTCAAGTCAGAGAACTGCCTCATCTTTCAGCATACAAAACCATCCTATACACCCTTTCCGAAACAGACCCCAGTGGTGGACTTTGGTCCATAGCACAGATGTGCACATCCAGGTTCGGGAATGTTCAAAGTTGTTCAGAGCCCTGAAAATATTTTCTTTAAGGAATTTCACAACGGGAATCTTGTTGTCTATGAACTATACATATTCAAAGATATCATCATATGAATTTTCACTCCGATTTGTACTCACACCACCTGTTTTGTTCTCTGTGAGTTCTACCCTCTGTACTAAAGAATTCGGGCTCCTAAGTCAATGCGTGTGTTTGTATTTCTCAAGAGAGACCCTGGCTTGAGGCAGGAGAACACTGTGACACCGAGGCGTGTTCTGACTCAATGCTGCTGCTCCTCATGGTCCACTCTCACGATTCACTGTAATATCTAGTATCTTTGCAAAGTTTCTTTTTGCTTTTTAAGTACATTTTTGAGACTCTTTCTATAAGTGAAAGTAATAGCTTAAGAAGTTTAGTCACCTAAAACCACGACACCACGATCTATATTTAGCTCTATACAGTCATGAGGCCACATGAGAAAATTAACACCCCCACCCCTTCACAGGGAGTCACGGGCGGAGGCAAGGACTCCCTGCTTCCATAGAGATGTCATTTGGGCTTACTGAGCAGTACTTCCATTAAGCATGAAAAGCTCAGGAAAACTGGAATAATGAAGGAAGAAATCAGAGGGAGACCATTAGCGCCCAGTTCATTTCAAGAAGAAAGCAGTAACCATCCCTTCCCCCTACGTTTTAAATGTCACAACGAATTCAAGTAACAAAATAAACAATTAGCTGAGAGCACACTTTATGTACAACTTTAATTTCTTCCTACTGTGTTCATTACTGAGCTATTTGCTTTCTTCAGGCAGGATGGGGGGAAACTTTTAAAAGTCTCGTTTAATACAGAAGTCAATTTCCACTAATGCAGTCTTTGGGTGGCACATGTGGCCTCACAAAGCAGGTCTGTATATACAAATGTACGTGTATTCACCTCTTTCTTTATAAGAACGACAGATATTGGCCCACCTTCAAACACTTCATCACTATTCCTATCCCGTAGGGAAAACCATGAATATGAGAACCATATTATTTATAATAATTGCAAACTGGTTAGTATTTCTGGTAGAACTGATTTTTCCCTTCACTTGTATAAAAACAGCTTCAGTTGTGAAAAGAATAATGTAACTAATGTATAACTCACACTTTACTCTGTAAAAAGTTAGACAGGAAGGATTTTTCCTGCACTCCGCCACGAGGAAGCAGGAATAAAATGCTTTCTAATAACTGCAGCTATCGAGGTATTTAACAAGGAGTTTATGGGCCCTACAGGCTTTGACGCTTCAGGTTTGTAAGCGGCAGCACGAGAGGGCCACACGGGCCACCAGCACTTTCATAGATTCACTAAGGGCTCCACAGTTCTAACCATCCAGAAGCCACTCTTGTATGTGTTCAGGGCCAGGGAAGAACATGAGGGCTTTGCCCTAGTGTAGAGGAGGCCAAAGCTGAGGCAGCCCATCTGCCTATAAAATACTCATCGCAAAGATTCCAAAGAATATCTTTTTTTTCTCGAGCTCTTCAGATCACATCCTCAAATCTCTTTCCGCCCATAAAATTTAGCCAATGGAAGCAAGATAGGGGACATCAGCACACTTCGAATCCAAAGCAAGATGCTAAAACTAGCTAGAGAAAATAATCAAAATAATGGAAAATAATTATTAGGAAAAATCGGTTTGTAAGTGATGGGAGAATATAAGGGAGAGTACTTAAAATCCCTCAAAATTTCCTCAAATCTCTTTCCGCCCATAAAATTTAGCCAATGGAAGCAAGATAGGGGACATCAGCACACTTCGAATCCAAAGCAAGATGCTAAAACTAGCTAGAGAAAATAATCAAAATAATGGAAAATAATTATTAGGAAAAATGTGTCGGTTTGTAAGTGATGGGAGAATATAAGGGAGAGTACTTAAAATCCCTCAAAATTTCCTCAAATCTCTTTCCGCCCATAAAATTTAGCCAATGGAAGCAAGATAGGGGACATCAGCACACTTCGAATCCAAAGCAAGATGCTAAAACTAGCTAGAGAAAATAATCAAAATAATGGAAAATAATTATTAGGAAAAATGTGTACATGTGAAATGCAGACATCAAAGGGACTACATTAGAGTACATATATTGAGTTCTATCTCAATCAATGCAATCCAAAAAAATGAATTTTCTTTATTCTATGGAGTTTTTTAACAGCTAGTCCTTCGTTAGGCTTCCTCATGTGGAAAAACAATGCCTGGTTATTACAGAATTAGGCTGGGCCAGAATCTAGTGTCCAATAGCACTTATCACAGATGTAGAGATCTGTGAAATAGTATATATTCATTAAGCCCTTTCAGAATTTTGGTCCAAAAAGTGCCCAGGCTCAGCTTCATAATTTTTACACATGACCCAAGTCATTTCTCCTTATGTGGCTGTTCAAATGTCAGTTGGCGCCTTAGTTATTTACAGAGAACTTTCACCTACATTATCCCAAGCACAACTATTTCTCACCAAACGTTTTCATTAATTCATCTCCTGGTTAAGATTCCTTTTTCCAGAACATCTTCCCCTTAGACGGGGATCAGGAAAACAGGAGCTACATTTCTACTGGTCCAAGAGAGAAAAGACCACACTAATAGTTAGAAACCCACCTTCTGGTATACCATCGTTCTTTATTAACAAACATGTCACCCTAAATAAGAAACACTTGGCTTGCTTTTACTGAACAATCAATCTGCCATTAGAGCTAGAAATTGTGAGAGGCACAGCCTCCCATTCTGGTACAGGAATTCTATCGTCTCCCTCTTACACAGAAATGAGATGGCATATTGATGAAGTGATTATAAGACATGTTTTTAATTCTTTTGTTCATGTTAACGGTATTTGAGAAAAAGCTAAAACATAGAAGGTGGTAACCGAGCGAGTATCAATTCATTTCAGCCACTTGCAGAAATAAAACATTTAGTTGCATAGAGCTGAAATCCCCAAATACATACATTTTTTTTCTGGGAATATGACAGCAGTTCTCCACATTAACAATGCGAATATTAAGCCCACAGAAGACATTTTGGTTGTTTTTTGACAGAGTGCTATGCCACCTCATTAAACCCAGACGAAGAAAAAGTTGATGAGGTCATAGCGCAGGAGTGAGGTCACCAGCTAATTTGACTTCGTAGAACAAAAAAAGTTTGACTGATGAAAAGGCAGAAGTCAACATCCCTTTGCCTAAATGAGTCTTTCAGATCAGAGGCCAAAAATTCTGTTGGTTAGACACCCTGAGCATGCCCACAGCAGCATGTGACTGATAGCACTGTAGAGTCTCTTGTGAATGATTTAATGATTAACTGACAGTTCAAATCCTGGAAAGGTCACATTAGCAGCCCCTATCAATGCTTCAGAGCCGAAGCAGTAGAGTGTGAAACTCAAATTCCACCATGAGCTCGGAAAATGATTAAAGTCAGAAGTGATCCATGGCCACTTCCGAACGAAGTCCGAGATCCCTAACGTTACCCGTAACGTGGGGCGGGCACGAGATAATGGCAGGCGGTGAGAAAGAGTTAGATTTTGCTTTTGGTTTTGATCCAAGAAAAGCAGTTGAGTTAATGAAAATATTAGTTATTAACTATAAATTTTGGAAATAAATGCCATTTTTAAGAGTTTAGGAGGCTGTCTGATCATAAATATTTCAAAGAGTACACTATTAATTCAAGCCAATCAATAATACAGCATGACCCTCCAGCTACACTACCAATGAGAAGAAATTTATTCATTAGTTTTATTCCCACTGAAATCCATATCTAAAGGTTTGAGATTGATTATTGCAACAAAAATGTCTTTTTATCAAAATATTTTTTATTATTCAAACATTTCTAAAGCAATAATATGTTATGATTCTTTTATTTGTTGAGGAGAAAACTGAATATTTACTGACATTTCTTGAAAACTCGCTGCAAGCCCACAGGAAAGAATCTGACGTCTTTATCTTGTGTTTTCCTTAACTTGACAGGAAGTCAACTTCAAGTGGACTGACTTGAATCAGGATCTCATTTGGGAAGCATAAGTATCCAATAAACAGCATTATTATTTTATTATTATTTGGCAAATACTCGCACTCCAGTGGCTTTTCATCCTGTACTTTACTTTCTGAAAACCTGGCCATCCCATGTGGACTTCTGGTAGAATGAGCAATGCAAAGAGCTGGCTTGGACTCAGCATGTCCTTGTACTTCTGGGGATTGATGGACCTTACGACCACCGTTCTCTCGGGCACACCAACACCGCCAGGCAAATTAGAAGCACTCCTGTCAGACAAGCCACAGTCACACTCGCGGACAAAGAGGAGCTGGGTTTGGAATCAGTTTTTTGTTCTGGAAGAGTACACTGGAACTGACCCTTTGTATGTCGGCAAGGTAAGAACCGCCAAAAAGAAAGATAAATTATCAGGATATTGAATATTGACACTGAAATGAATATAAATTAAATACGAAAGCTCATCTAACACGTGCCTAAAGCTTGAGAACAATTTTAACTAGTGGTATGTTACCTGACAGCTAGTTGAATCTCATTTTTGCTTTGTCTGATAACCAGTCAGAAGGAGAGATCTCTCTCCTCACTCATGCTTCTGCTCTGAGAGGGGTGGGAGGGTGGGGAATGAGAAACTGGATTTCGGAGGGAAAGCTGGGGCCATTGCAATAGCCATTCAAGTCCCAAAAGCAGCAGCCTTGGAAATGACGGGATGGAGAAGAAACTGGGGTGTAAAAGGGGGAAGCAGAGGGCTTTCTGCTTTTTTTTTTCCCCAAAGCATTTCTACAGGTATTGCCTGAGGCTCAAATTTAATACGGAAATAAAAAAGAATAAAATATTCTTCATTTCAGAAGATCCTAGCACATGCTTTAGGATAGGTGGAGACAATGAATGAATATATTTATAAACTTTATACTCAAATTCCCTTGATTTATCTATCATTTCATTTTTAATCCAGGCTTTCTCCTATGTTTACATTATTTGGTTGTTAATCAGAGAGCATTTTATGAAAGTAACCAAGTGAGAGAAAAATGGAAAACAAGGAACTAATTAGAAAATAAATAATTCATTCAAATGATAATTTAAACACTTGTTTAGCACAGAGGCTTGAGGGTGTAGGTTTCAAAGTCAAACACACATGAGTTCAAAACCCTCTGCCAATTGCTTCCAGAGTGACTTTGGACAGGCCACTAAGCCCCAGTAGCCTCTGTTCCCACAAATGTCCATGGGGGACAACAAGAGAACTACGACCTCTCAGAAGTGGTCTGCATAAACTCCTTCAACTCCCACCCACTACTTCACCCACTTCTCTGACTTCTGTCCCCACCGCTGCACCAACGTTGTCTGCGATGCTCCTAAGGACTCGTCCACTATCAAAGCAGGTTTTATGGAACTGCCGGACCGTGGCCTGGACACTGCTGGCCAGTCCCTCCTTCCTGACTCACGGTCCTCTCCCGGCTTCGCGAGCTTCGCAGTCCTGTCTTCCCTCCTTCCTCTCACGCCCTTGGCCAGCCCTCTCCCTCCACCCGGTCCAAACCACAAGGTCTGCCGTGGGACTCCTCTCTACCCACACTCATTCTCTGGGTAGATTAACCACCCTATGGTTTTAAACTCCACCTCTAAACCAAGGAATCCAAAACCTCCATTTCTAGCTCAGACCACTCTTTTGAGCTTCAGACTCATAAACCTACTGCATCTGCGACAGACCCATGCTTATGACTCAAAGGCCTCCCAAACGAAGTGTATCTTCAGTAAAGAATTCTTGTTTTTCCTTCCAGACCAACACTGCCCCCAACCTTCTCTATATTAGTACTGCCATCATCCAGTTCCTAAAACCAGAGACCAATGATCATTCTTCACTTCTTCTTGGCCCCCACATTCTCTCCACCTGCAAATTCTGTCAGTCCTATGTGAAAATCCACCCCAAATCCTTCATTTCTCTCATCTCCACTTCTACCATCATCTCTCACCTGTGCAAATATTCGGACTCCAAACCAGTTTCCTCACTTCTACCCACACTTCCTTCCAAACTATTCTCCACACACGTCTTTCAAAACGTGAGTCACACCATGTCACTCTGCTTACATCCTTCAATGTCTTCCCGTTACACCTTGAATCACTCGGACTCCCCCCATGCACCTGACAGCTGATGAGGCCACTCCCTGACCCGCCTGCCTCGCCTCCCGGCACAGCACGTGCTCCTCTCTCTCTCCCTCCCTCTTCTATTCCAGGGACAGAGCCTCGTGTCAGTTCCTACAACTTGCCAAGCTTTGCCCTACTGTTCCTGCATACTACGATGCCCTTCCCCAGCTTCTCGCAGGGTTCCTCCTCCTCTTTTGGATCTAGGTCTTTCCTGACCATTCTCTACCATTATTTTTTGGATCTAGGTCTTTCCTGACCATTCTCTAGCATTATTTTTTTCACAGCTCTAAACACAACTGACAATATGTAAGTTACTTGTTTCTTGACATGCGTATTGTCTGAAGCCCCATACTAGACTACAAGCTCGATGAGGGCAAGGACACTGCTTCCATTTTATCCCCGAGGCCTGACGTAGCACCTATGACACAGAAAACACACACACAAAAAAAATGAATGAATGAATGAATGAATGAATGGACACTAAATAAGCTAACGCATGTAAAGCACTTAGCATAGTGCCTGGCCCAGAGGAAGATATTAATAACTGTCACCCTGTAGTAGCAGCAGGAGGAGGAAGAGGAGGAGTCACAGTAGTAGTAGTAATAGCAGTAGTGATCAGTCACTTTGCTTGACTTCTCCCTTCCCTTTTCTCTTTTCTTCATGCACGGTCAGTCACCATATCCTGTCAACATCTCTGCCAGTTTCTCAGACTCACCTCATCGTCTCCAGTCTCCGTGATCACTGTGATCCGTCTGTCCTTCACGATTAGATTAACTAAGCAGGCGCTGCCTGTCTCCCTGGAGAGAGGCTCGTCCCATCCCTCCCCCAGGACTCAGGACATTCATCTACTTGAAGCACCCTTCCATCACCTTGCTCCTCTGACTAAGAAAGCCCGTGGCTCTCCAGTGCTTATGGGAGCTCCAGCGCACAGTTCAGGGACTTTCAGAAGACGACCCCTCCCTTACCCGGCCCTCCCCTACCATCCCTCAAATGTAGTCCTGATCCCAGCTGAGCTGGCTCTCCTTACTGGCCTCAACACACATACTGCATTTGTCTCCACCCCAGACGTATGTATGTCCATGCTACTGCCCTGCCCAAGACATGCAGTCACCTCCTCTCTGTTCAATCACTTTCAGATTCCTCAGGGCCCTAGCTGAAAAGCCACTTCCATCATGAACACATCCTTCCAGCTATTCAGAATTCCAAAGACTTCTAGCTACTCAATATTTGTAAAATGTTTCTGCCAACTAGACATACATAGCTACCTCTAAAATAAGTTTAAGAAAATATCTTTGTATTCAGTAATTGCTTTGTATGCATGTACAATTTAGAGCCCTCTTCCCAAGGAGGAAAACTGAGACGCCACTCCTCGCCTTCCCTGCACCTCCCAACACCGAGTACCCAACACAGCTCTGGACACAAACGCAGAAAGACAAGGCCACCTAACATTTTCCTGGGCTGCCACTGCACTATGCGTCAGCTGCATTCGCACAGAGCAGATCATTTAATCACCATAACAATGCTGTGAGATAAATATAATTCACCACTTTTAGATAATTAGCCTAGAGAACTTGGCTCAGCGAGGTTATATTCATTGCCCAAAGTTATAAGAGAGGTAACAGGAAAAGCCCAGATCGAGATCCACACCGCAATCTGACACTGAAGGAAGCGGCTTTCCTTTACGTAGCCCTGCATGCGTGTGGCCGTGACCTTAGACTTGGCCCTAAGAGATATGCGGAAGAGTCCACCTGCTAGCGCAGGATCAGGAATCTGGCCAAGCCCAACTGCCTCCTGCCATGGGAGCACTTCGCTGTGCACCCCGTCCAGTCTTCACGAGCAGTGCTCACCCTCTCCTAATCACCCAGCCCCACGCACAGGGCACCCCCCGCAAAGGTCACCCCACGCAGCCCTACAGCGATCCCGTCCGGCCAACGCACCAGCGGCCGGTGAAAGTGTTTGACCTGTGCTGGGTGTGTCACCTCCACGTGACGAAGGTAATTATATATTCACTTACCCAGGCACTTTACCCCTTTACTTTTTTTTTAAAGAGAATTCACCCACCTTTCATTCCCTTTACCCCAGGGGCAGTCAACTTGTCACCTTGAGCCTGAAAGGTGTCTGTTTAGGGAACCTGCCTGAATATTTGCTTATTTCAGAAAGGAGTATGGCAACAATTACCAGCTGTAATTGGCATGGCCTTAGAAAGTCCACATGGGCTTTCCAGGGACAGGCAGTGTCGAGTTCAAGCGAGATTGTATTGACATGTGCAAAGAGGGGGATGCGGAGAGCTTGTGCCTGTGCACGAATCCATGGTTCCGAGTCATGCTGAGGTTAACCACACGGAAGCTGTCTGACCACCAACTGCAAGCACTTACTGCATTCCTGGACCTATACGAGGCACTACGAAAGATGACAAAAGGATTGGAACTCACCCTCGTTTTTGAAGTCCTAAATCAACTAAGATTTTTCATAATCTATGTGTGCTTCCTATCATTCACGATTCCTCTGGCTGAAGAATTACACACTAAAGAATTATTATGATAATTAGGATGTCTACCTGTCTTACTCCGTCTAGATTTGGGGGGAAAATATTTTCGCAAGATGCACACGACTGCGTGCGCCATCTCCACTCTAGAAGGTCCTCACCATCCCCTCAGTCAGTGTTAGCTGAATTAAATATGGATAAATATTAAACATTTGTATTACAGTGCCAACTTGCTGAGTGACTTAGAGAAAAGCTATCACTGTCTCTTCTTTGCAGTTCTCACAACCGAATGTGTATTCTGTGGCTGGTAACCCTTAATGTTAAATAGGCATTACTGTGCTGGTTATTGAGCTAGTGTCCTTAGAGCCACCTTCCCCTACTCTACCTCGTGACGCTGGGGCTGGGGCCCGGCAAGCCACGATTTCTTTTTCTGACCAGCTGCCAGTGGGCTCTGACGGTAGGATGTACTAGAGGGAGAACCACCAGAGGCCGGAGACGGAAGAGACTTGCTCCTTTTACCCGGCCGGCAGTCCATTCCTGCACTCCCAGCACCAGCCTCATCGCACCCCCTCAGAAACATCAGCACCACTGGATGGCACCCCCTCCTTAGAAGTCTCAGCTCTGTGGGAGGCGGGTGCTGGGGACACCTGCTCTAAGCCCTGACTCCCCAGCCCAGAGGGCAGCTCTCCCTCCTCAGAGGTCTCAGGCCCGGCCTCCTCCAAACATCTAGATTCCAAGAGCCCAGTTCCATCCGGAGGGAGCTGTATCCCTACTATCCCTCCTGTACCTCAGGGTTCCCTCTTTGCCGTTTCATATTAAATTCTCTCTGCTAAAATAACGTGGTTTTGTTCTCTGATTGGACACTGAACTGATACAATTACACTCCTCAGAAAGCAGTTCTCCGTAAGCGGACCCCGGCCCCTCTCATAGCTGGTTCTCTTCCCGTTCACAAGAGGCCCCTCCTGCTTCTCTGTGGGTATCACCTCGCTCCTCCCCTCGCTCTCCTCTCCTTACCTTCCTTCTCTCTTGCACAGATGTACTTGTAAACACACACTCAGAAGCTACTTGAAAGATACTTGCTAGCTCTTTCCAAACAAAGGTAAAATGATTTCACAAGAAGCCTAAACTCTAATTGTACACCCTACGCTATTCTTTCAACGAAAATTTTTTGAGCATTTACTACATGTGAAAGCAACATGGTTTCTGACTTCAAGGAACGCACAGTCTAGAGAGTTCTTCAAATTCTTCCAATTCGTCTGTGGGACAAAAACAGAGATAACAGATCTGAGGTTGAGCCCAGACTATTGACATCTGCCAGCCAGATGGCTCCTGAGGAACCAGAACCTCCTCCACAGCAGCAAACGCATTTAGCCGGCAGTCAGTTATTAAGCTCTCTCCATGAGCAGAGCACTTAAACTTGGCCTATGATGACCACAAGCATGCTCAGCTTTGTTAAAGCTCATAGGACAAAACTTTTTAGATGACAAATAGGATGTCTCAAATAGTCCTGGGTTCGTTCTTTATGTCAGCTTCTATTCTTTCTTCTCTCCCTACATAATCTGCCATGTCCTCAACTAACCTATTCCACTCTAGGTGAAAGTCCTACGCCATATACCTTAAAATTACCTGGATCTATATTTATAGTTACACGTATATTTTATATACATAAATGTGTAAACACATGCACATGTATATCCTTTTTTTTTTTTAATTTTAAAAAATCCTGAGATTTTTGTCCTCCTTCTCCCAATTCCATTTCTCTACCTGGAAACATAGTTCCACATGGAATGGATTTTCATTTCTCTGTGACCAGGTCTGAATAAAATGGCTTTCTATTCTACACAATAAGAGCTGGGCACCTCTGCTTTTTTAACTTTACAAATAGAAGATTTAGATTGTGAAAAAAATAATACTGTATATGGAATGAGGAAATGTGAGCACTTCATATTCTAAATCGAATTCTTTAAGCAGGAAAAAAAATTCACAGCTATTTTTTTGGTCAATTTTGTTCTTATGTCCCTTCCCTAGATAAGACACAGCTGAATTCCTCTAGGCAGCAAAATCACTGCCTGCGTGATTTGGCCGTGAGTCAATTTGAGATCAGCTCAAAGCCAGCCACAGCCTCCAAATCCATCCTTGTCTGAGGATGTTATGAATACATTTTCAGGTGTCTTCTTGGTGTCTGTGCCATTTAATCCTCAGAATAACACTGTCCCAGCAATGCTTCAGGCAGCCTTATGCAGCTTTTACCATTGGACTGTGCCTAACAAAAAGCCAACAGGTTTTTTCCATCTCTGCTACACTCCTGAAGGTTTGATGGAAGCAGAGGAAGGCCAGGCATGTTAATACGCTTTTCTCTGTGCACAAATATCATCTTCATAATCGGGGCCATTTATAGCGTTCCTATCATGAGAAACTGTGTGCTGGGTGCTTTACATACCTTCATTTCTAATGATCCCAACACCTTTTAAAGTAAGTATTAATGTTGTTCTCTACACTTATATATGAGAAATTTGAGAATTATAAACATTAATTTGTCAAGGACACTCGATTTATAAATGACCTAGTGTTTGGGCCTGATACATCTGCTTCTCTGGCCTAAACCTAACACTGGTTGCCTGTTTGATAAACTAAATCTCATGAACTTCATTGCTGAACTTCATATGCAAAGTGCTAACGATCCAGCAACAAGAGTTAGTAGTAGCTGACGAAATGTAACTAACTTTTTGTTGCTTCCTTTAGAGAGAGACTGTTACTTATTCATAGCCCAAAATTTCAGGGTTCTTGCCATCTATATACATTAGAGATACAGACATTTATTTCTAGGCTTAATACGAAAAGTGCCCCTCAACTCTTTTCAAGAATCATTACAAAGTAATTTAGGAGGAAATATGGTTGGATGAGCAGATAAAAGCATGTCCCTAATGAACTGTCCACATAGAGACTTGAGTGATCCAGTTATGAGTCCGGGAACCGGTCCCACCGAAAGGAGTGACAGACTGATGCAAAGAATAACGACCAGCAGTTAAATTCCGTTTTGACAGCTGAAACACAAGCCAGCAGAGTCCTAGTGAATGACACTACAGAACTGGGACCACGGAGTCAAAGCAGAGCAAGAGTCCGGAAGTCACTTAGTATTTCCGGTGCAGTAGCCAAAGCATTTTTATTAATCATTTCATCAGCTTTTCAGCCAACTTCAAATTGTCATAAAGTTTTTGAAACTCCAAGACATAATTTATATCAACACTTTCTTATTTTAAAACATTTAGGCTTGTCTTTTTCTTTTTTTTTTTAATCAAATGAAAAGGCTGGGTATCTTCTTATGAGACAGGCCCCTATTCTCATGCTGGAGACCTATACTTTCCAGAATTCTTGTTTTTTGTACTCCTCAGGGAGAGGATTTTTTTTTTTTTTTTTAAAGCAGTAAGTTCAGGATACTGAATGCGATGTGGAAAAACTTTACTTATTTACCAACCTATATTAGCTCTTTGATACAATCATGTTCGGTCAATATTAGTTCTTTGTAGACAGACATTTTAAACATTTGACTAAAAAAAAAAACTCTTCTTGTTTAAAAGGTCAGATGTTAGGACCAAACAGAAAATCAATTTATTTCTGCCACCTGTTCATATCCATACTGAGATGTTGGTCCTTCTTTTCCCCTAGCTCCATTCGGACATGGACAGGGGGGATGGATCCATCAAATACATCCTCTCAGGAGAAGGGGCAGGCGTCGTGTTTACCATCGACGACACCACCGGGGACATCCACGCCATTCAGAGGCTCGACCGAGAGGAAAGGGCCCAGTACACCTTGAGGGCTCAAGCCCTGGACAGGCGGACAGGCAGGCCGATGGAGCCGGAGTCGGAGTTCATCATCAAAATCCAAGACATCAATGACAATGAGCCCAAGTTCCTGGATGGACCTTATATTGCCACCGTGCCAGAAATGTCACCAGTGGGTAAGGTGGAGTTCCCCGATTCTCACAGAGAGCGATCCCTCTATAGAAGGTCCTTCCGTCTAAATGCGGGAAAGGAGAGAATGTGCAGATCAACTCAAAGATTACAGAACTGAACCAAAAGTGACAAGCACGTCCTTAGGCAGAAAACTACTTAAACACTGAAATCAGCCAGAGCAAAAAATAACATTAATAAGCTTAGTATTGTTATTCAGTTCTCGTTCCTAAAAAACAAAAGATAGACAGATAGAGGTAGATAAATGCATTTTGATATAAACGAAAGAGCCAAAAGGCTGTGTTGTCCTTACCAGTTATTAAGTACCTGAAACAAATAGCTCGCATCCCCACTAAAGAGGTATGAGAGAGGAGTGACAGATGTCTCACCTAGAAAGGAGCGTGTCCAAGGAAGCAAACACAACATTTTCTAATGCTTTAAGACTGCCCGTTCAGGACTGCCTCTAGCCTTCAACAATTCAACTTGAACAGGTTTGCCCCATCTCTCTTCCTCAGGGACCTCTGTTATCCAGGTGACGGCCACAGATGCTGATGACCCAACCTACGGCAACAGTGCCCGGGTAGTGTACAGCATTCTCCAGGGCCAGCCATATTTTTCTGTGGACTCCAAAACAGGTATTTGACCCAACAGTCTAGTCAGGAGTGTTTGCTTTGTTCCCTAATAATTTGTAACTGCTTCTATGATTGACCCAACTCTCCTTTTCAAGGACTCTTCAGAGACTGTGTTAACCAAAAAGGATTGTTATAAATTTGGGGATTAAGAGAGCAAACGAGCGCCGCTCTGAGGGGTAACAGCAGTGCTGTGTACAGACAGTGCCCAGAAAAGGCCAGAAGGCCTGCCTACACAACGTATCTTCTCATTAGCCTGCAAAAATCCTATGGTTATATTTATTCACAGGGATTAAGGTCTTTTGTAACTCCAAGAAAACCTGAGAGGGTTGACGTATTAATCTGGGCTCCCTACAGAACCAGAATCATTGACTTCGAAACTAGGGGAATCATCCAGCCATCACCATTCATTTAACAGATAAGGAATCTGGGACTCAAGACCTAACAAAGCATTTCTACTTGTAGATATGTCCCCTGCCATGTGATCTAATGTTCTCTCCACTGGATCACTCTGCATGGAGCAGAGAAAAAGTCCCAAATAAATGGATGCTGGGACAGACAGGTTTGAATGAGGAGGAAACAGCACAGCTCATTAGATGTAACCCCCTTCCCCCCAACTCCCGAAAAAAAGGCGGGTGCTGAGTGGGAAGCTCTCACAGGGAGGACAGCATAGAGAACTGGGTGGGTAAGGAGCGATGTGGCAGAAAAGGACAAATCAACACAAGCTTGGTTTTAACATTTTGTTTTGTTTTCAGTTTTATTTAAGAGCTTTACCTACAGAACTTATGTTTTATCTGTGAATAATTCCTTTTAATCCTTTTGAGTTGGGCAGGATGATGATTACATCAATATTATCTTGCGCTTGTGCCAGGCTTTCTCCCTTTTAAAAACACTTTCATATACAGTGCCATATTTGAGCCTCCCCATATTCTTGTGAACTCATGGAATATATGTAAGTATTGCTATTCCCATTTTACATACAGGAAAAATGAGGACCTACGAGTAATTAACAAGGAACTTGAGTAAAAAAAAAAAAAAAAACCTTACAGCCACAGAGGTAAAGTCAACGATGAATGCTCAAAGTCACCTTTTCATTTCAAAGAGAAAAAATGCATTTCTATTAGCAACCTGATAGAATTTTTTTCCCAAAAGTCCTAAGGGGAACCAGGCGTTCAGAAAATTATGCAATAAAAGTGAAAAGTGAGGGAGCGTAAATTAGTAGGAGGAAAGACAAAGATTGCAGAGACTTGTATAAAACAGTAACTTTAACAATGGAGGAGGGACAGGGGTGCCCGTGGGGAGGAAGAACACAGACAGGAAGAGGGCGATGTGTCCTTTGCATCCTCAGAGGAACCTTACATCATTTTGACAGCTCCCAGGGGGCATCTTTAGTGTTAAGGTCAAAAATACATGAAAAGATAGTTACTGCTGCGTCCATAGGGCATTTAAAAAAAAAAAAAAGATGCTGCATGTATCACATTAGAATGCTGTTACTATAATGCAGTATATACATTACAGGAGTAAACTGGGCACAGGTTTGTGGTTCCCTCCCTTCCTGTGGCATGCAAAATGTCTGTTTAGCCAAGAGTCATGTTGTAAACTTACGGTAAACAAGTCTTTAACCTTTGTCTAGAGTGTACAGAAGTCAACTTTTCTAAGTGGAAGGGTTAAAAGAGAGATAAAACATTACCACACATCGCTGGCAGGATCAAAACACATTTCACTGGATTTTGATTTAGACTCCTCTTAATGAAACCGTATCATCACACGGTGATGCTGCCACTTACTGTCTGGGGAAGTTCATCCCTTATACGTGTTCGAAATAAACAACTCACAGAGCATTCTTCATGTCCTAGCTCATGGTATTCAGTGAAGCACAGAGGTAAGCAAAACCTAACAAAATAGAATGAATATATAACAAAAGGAAAAGCAAATCAGAATTCCAACCCTGCCTGCGGGTATGCGGGAGACAGGAACAAGCAGACCAGGAGTGAGCTGCCTAAAGCAGTCGTTCACGCTACAGGGACTCTAGGGGCTGAAGAAAGAGCCAAAGGAGACCTGGTCTAAAATCACAGATTTGCAGACATGTGAGGCTTTGTTTTCTGGGCCCTAAGCCCCAATTTTCTTCAGTGAGATAGAGCAGCCTGACATGGCCATGGACAGCTAGCAGCTGACTTTGGAGAACCACTGCTGCCACCTCCTGTTCTCTCTCAGTAATGCCGCCAGAGAAAATCGGCCCTCAGCGCTTCCCGCTGGAACTCTGTTCGTTGGCCATTTGTTTAAACACAACACTTTTTTGAAGCTGGGATTCTGACCTCAAGTTCAATAAAATACAGATGACTTGCAGCTCGACTCTAGGTATTGACAGTGCACAAGAAAGAAACCTATAACCTAATCTTAAAAACTAGACTTAAGGTTTTATTTTGAAAAACAAAGTCATTTCTATCCCGCAGGTGTAATTAGGACAGCACTCATGAACATGGACCGAGAAGCCAAAGAATACTACGAAGTGATTATCCAAGCCAAGGACATGGGGGGACAGCTTGGAGGATTAGCTGGAACCACGACGGTCAACGTCACCCTCTCGGATGTCAATGACAACCCACCCCGCTTTCCCCAGAGTGAGTATCTAACCAGTGAGGGTGCCGGTCTCAGGCCGGAGGGGGGCAACCGTGACTGAGCTGAAAGAGAAAGACCTGAGTTCTCTTTAAGTCCAATGATTCACATAACCATGTCCCTTCTATGTCCCCACTTCCCACAGCACTAACCCACTGTGTCTCGCTTTCTTCATTGCCACCTCCCATGGAGCTCTTTTAGACTTTTTTTCATTGTCCTGTCCTGCCCCCTTTCACAAAATCAAATGTTAATACGATTTTGTTGAGTAATGTTGAACTTTAGAGAACCACAAACCCTTGTAATACCTAAGATTCTTTTCCCCACTCCTCCTGCCCGTTGAGAAGGCATGCAGGGCAAGTAAGCCAAACCAGTGACCCATTTGAGCCACCTTAACCAGTCAATTCATAAGCAGGTACAGAGCCCCTGCTTCGTAAGGGCCCTGGGCGTGAGGGGTGCGAGACACTTAAAATCCAGTTGGGGTGCATTATTCCATACTCACTAAAAGTTAACCAGGCAGCCGCTCAGTTAGTGCAGAACGAAGCCTTCACAGTAAACTAAATGAAGGCTTCACAAAAGGACGAGACTTCATGGGGCTAAAGGATATAAAGAATTTAAACAGGCAGAAAGTAGAAATTTCCAGAAGGGAGGAGCCACTCATCCATTCAAAAATTATTTGTTTCAGGCCTCATTATAAGTATGGGATATAGACCAGTGCACAAAACAAATGAAATCTTTGCTCTCCTAGAGCTCATCTGAGTAGAAACCTGAATGTAAGGAAAAAATACGTATAAAGACCTAGAAATAAAGTCACAAATGTAATTTTATGTTTAAAGATCCCTAAAATGAAGATCTGCTCTTTAGTGTTTCAACTGTCATGTGTGTAACAGAAGTCATTGAAAGGTTTTTGAGCAAGGGACAGAGAGAGAAAGCCCAGTTAGACAGCCATGCCTCGAATGGGATGGCAGCCCTGAAGACCAGCAGCAGGAGAGTCCCTTTGAGAGTGATGCAGACGTAAACTAGTAAGTACTGAAGGAAAGGGTAGAAAGAGTGGAGGGAGGCAAATAAGAAAACATGGATTTCTGCCTCTTGATTTCCTGGCTAAGGGAACCGAGGCAGAGGGCGGCGTCGAAGATGACAGTGATGTTTTACGTCTGAGGCAGGAGGAAGAACTGTACTGCTGATAGAAACAGAGGACGCACAACGGAACTAGTGTCAGGGAATGAGGAAGACAAATTCAGAATTGAATAAGCAGGACAATCAGATTAAATGTCCTTTCAAAAGGTGGAAATACAGGACTATGACTGTGGAAAGAAGCCCAGGAACGGAGACATGCACTGAGAAGCAGATGCCTAAATGGAACTTGGAGAAGTGAGGGCCGCAGAGACAATTCCAGGTGAAAGGCTGACCCCAGGAAAGCAAATTAAGAAAAAAAAAAAAACTAAACTGAAAACAGAATCAAGCCTGATTATCAGCTTAATAGCTATGTTTCGAGTCTGCCGGACCAAGTGAACCATCTATTCTATCTATGTGAATACAGCAAGAGAGCTCAAATATTTACATATAACTGGTAAACACAAATCCCCATGACATTTCATGAAACAAAAAGGCAGGGTAGTAGATCTATATTAGACAAGCGGCACAAGCAAGTGGGTTAATAAGTTGATTGGTTCTACAGTACAGAACAGCAGTGAGTCAGGGAACAGTGTGTAAAATGCCAAATGGTTTGGTTTCCTAATTGCTTTCCTGACTCTGTGGGTTCCATCTTTATTATTTCATGAACGGCTCACATCGTGCACACTGTAGGCTGCAGATTCTTAAACATCCTTGAAAACGTATTTGGCTTTTGACACTAGTTATTTCTGATGAAGGCAGAAAGAGCGGAAGAACAAAGTTATTACAAAGCTCGTAAGTACATACATCTGCATGTACTGTAGCAAAGTCGTATCACCCCAAACGTGGCAGCTTCACAATCACACAACACAAGAGCTGGGGTCTTAGTCCTGCCCCACGAGCCAACATCTTAACACTTGTCTAAAACATACGTTTTTGAATTGTCACTTTTTCAAAATA